CCGCTCTCTCTCTCTCTCTCTCTCTCTCTCTCTCTCTCTGAGCTCAATCTCATTTGTACTAATAAAGCAAGCTCCACTGGGCTGGATTCATGTGATAAAACATAACTGGGGAGCCTGAGGGCAGAGGAGGGTCTCTGTGGGTGACATTTGATTGATGCAGAGATACTGTGTTTAAGCTAAATCACTGTATTTGCATGCCTAAATTACATAGTTGGGAAGACATAGTTTAAATTTCACTTTTGATAAATCTCTTCAAACTGAGGTACTCTGTCCTTTTTGAACCAACCAGGAGTAGGAATTGATTCCTGTTGGACTAATTATGCTGGGTAACTTTTTCCTGTCCTCTGAAAAGTTGTGTTCAGGTCAAGATCTTTTGTGAAGTGAGAAATTTCTTTGGTGACAGGAAGTGTTGTGAAAGGACACCTTTATTTTCATATAAACTGAACAATTTCCACCTCTAACCTTGTGCAACACCCACAAAGAACACATTTTGGGGGATACAAAAGTCTTGCTCTTTTACCAAAAATGCAGTATTAAGAAATTCAAGGTAACAGCTAGTTACACACATTTTGGACACATTGACAGCTCTGAACATGAAGGTTGTGATAAGGAGTTGTAATGTTATGGTGTGATAAATTGTATTTATTTTAAAAGCCAGGTTATGGACAGGCATTGCAAATTAGCTCAAGCTGCAAATGCGTATATGGCAATAGTTTACTTGCCTCATACTTGTCCCAACACAAATAAATATGAAATAAATAAACTACGTGCATGTATAAATACAGAAAGAACCAAGAAATGTGAAATTGAAAATTAAATTGTAAAATAGAAGCATACCTTTTCACATAGTGCAATTAGCTGTGTTACTTGGTCACAATGTACCAACCAGACAAACTTAAGTGGCAAGGATTGAAACCAGTGCATGATCCATAGGGGTGGGTACCGGTCCTTGGTGCACCAGATACAGCAGCTGGGGATAACAAGCCTGTATCCTTGACCAAGAGTTATGAGTCCAGTTATGAGCATAGGTGTTTATTTAAACACAACAAAAAATGCCATTTGCACATGACAACACATTATGTAAAAAGTTTGCGAGATACTTCATTGCTCATTTTTCAGCATGGCATTAGGTGCATGATTCATGAAATGCTTAGAGAAACGTGACGCTAGAGCCGACTGCCACCTAGGTGGGTGTGTTCTGGCGACTGCTGCCAGAGGGAATGGGCACACTTTAGGTGGGTCTTGATTAGAGGAGGGGCTGAGTTTGAATGTTGTGTTTACAAACTGCATGAACATTACTGCAGACTCCACCCTTAAAGGAAAGATTTCAAAGTGCTGGACAAGCAGTTCATTTAAGTAGATGTAAACTTCTTTTATCTGCCAAAAGCAATGGCTGATAATCTAAATGTTAATGTTGTAACTCAAGATGACATTAGGTCATAATGGGCAGATAGGTTAACAGAAGGGTATTTAAATAGGGTATTTTTTTCTCCACTTAAGAGTGAACAAATCCCACAGAGACTTTACAGTAATCTGATCTTGGGCAAGTATTGATGTGATGAATTATTTATTGCGGCTTGCATCACATGTAAAAGTTTGCTCCTGTCTATTTTCTGGTTGTGTGGGTTACTGGCTGGAGGAAAGTCTTGGTGAGCAAACTTTTACAGGATTATTTTCACACAGATTTGTTTCTAAAGAATCAGGTGGCAATAAATGTTCTCATTTTGTAATAACTGATACTTCAAAAACTGTGTTATTTCATCATATTTTACTCTGCCTTCAGTTATGTCTCACTCACTCGATTTGGAATAATCCCGCTTTTGCTAAGAGAGCTTCATGAGTGACTTTTAGGTCCAACTCTGATGGAAGAGTGTTTATAATCCTGTTAAAATAAGTTGACTTCCACTTCATCCTGCTTGCGTGCAGATTTTAGCACTCACTTTGTGTTTGAGATAATGTAACTGTTCAAAGTCTGACCCAAGCTGAAGACTTTCTCTGTGTGTAGATTGTCTCAGCTTGTTTCGGCACTATCAGCTTTCCAACAAAAACTCAAAACAATATGCTGGAACTCTGCACAGATTTAACACATGTAAATCCATTATGCATGCTGACTTTTCAATACTGGCACTTTCCTCATCAGACAAGATTCTGACATTTATCTGAAAGGCTCGCTGCCTCGCGATTTGCTTCACTTCTATTAACATTTTTCACCGGTGAATATACTCTTTAATCTTTAGTGCATTACAGCTATATCTCCACCGCTTTCTGCCCCATCCAATTACAATCCAATCATCCAGCAGGCAGGTTAATGTCTGCTGTTAAGGTTCATCATTGCTCTACTAATCACTGTCTGCTCTCTCATCTCTTACTGCCCCTCCCTGCTTCTTATCTAACCTTATGTTGAGCACCGACTACAGCGACTAATGATTAAGATGATATGATACAGCAAACCAAATGGAGCTGCTGTGAGTTGATGGGTTGCTCTGAGGAACATCTGAGGTGGAGGCGTGCTGTATGAAGAGATCAACCTTAAACTCTGTTCAAATGTACAGTAACACAAGTGTAATATAGTTTATTTTGTCATCCGGCAGCGTTTTGATTGATTCAGAGTATTTTTCCTCCCCACCTGATGACTCTACACTCTTCACTTCTATCGAGGTCTAAACTGACCCTAAAAAGGAATTCTTACCATGTCGAAGCTACGACCCAGCCGCTGCTTGGTTCTTGGCTGCACAAACGAAGACAGGAGTCTATTTCTGCCTCCTTCGTCAGAAGATTTGAGGACCCAGTGGATTAGTTTTATTTTTGATGGAAATGTACCCACAACAACTTTGAAAATGTTGTATGTGTGTGCTAACCATTTCACCACAGACTGTTTTACCAATAAGGGGCAGTTCAAAGAAGGATTCGCGAAGAGGCTGAAGATTAAACCGTGTCAGGGACCCAACTCCCATGTGGAAGCTGTACGTTTTACCATTTTATGTTGCTTTACCTTCGCCCGTATGACTAGTGCTTTTGGCTGTAATCATGTGTTTACCATTGTATTCATCTACGAACTCGCTTCTATTGACTTTTTTTCCCTTGAGCAGCCGGTGTTTATCGGGGGCGCAGAGGATGGCCGGTGCTTCCAACTGCAGTGGTCTGTAGGTCCTCTGAAGAGGTCCTCAGAAGATCTCCAGACCACCGCTTCTGGACCGCCGCAGCATTACCGGCAGCCCAGAGTGACCTTAAGGAGGAAGAGCGTGGTTACACACAGCTCGTTATCATTTAAAGGTACAGGCACAGAATCAGCCCGTTCTCAGTGGAGCTCAAAAAGATGGGGGGTACAGGCTGGCTGATATCCACAAATAAACTGGTGATTTAGACAACAAACTTCAAATTAACTATTGTGGGACCTCTGAGGTAGGACAAATTAGTCGAGTGAAGCCCAGTGGCAGGATACTCACCACAGTTCACAGGGTATCAGAACCCCAGACGAAGCTCAAACAAGCACAGATCCACCAACGGACAAGAGTCCAGAGCTCATCCAGCCACAGGCGGTAGTAGAGAGGAAGATGAATGGACGGAAGCCTCAAATCCTGTGGCCTAAATCCTGCCTGAAAAAGGAGTGGGAAAACACCAATGCAGACCTAGTCCATCTTCTTGAAGGTCTGAAGGGGTGCGTGGACAGGAAGCTGGACAAGATTGGAGAGATCATCTACAACTATGGAGCAGAGAGATTTGGGGTGAAGGAGAAGAATCCTAGGAGGCAGAAGGAACCAGCAGCTCATCTCAAGTCCAGGAGACAACAAGAGATTGACAGACTTGTGAAAGAAAGAAGGTCCCTGAGAAAACGGTGGAAGAAGGCCACAGAAGTGGAAAGGAAAGGACTTGAGGCACTACAGGGTGACATCAAACAGCGTCTGGCAACACTGCGAAGAGCAGAATGTTTGAGAAAGCAACACAAGAAGAAGGAACGAACGAGGACTGCCTTCTACAGAGACCCCTACAAGTTCGCCAAAGACCTCTTTGTCAAGGAGAAAACTGGGACCCTCGAAGCATCCGTAAGGGAGCTAGAGGAGCACCTGAGGAAGACCTACTCCAACAACCAGAGGCATGTGCTAGCCAGCATTCCGGATGACATGCCACCAATCCAGCCACCAGAGCACCAGATGGAAACTAGGCCCCCTACATGGAGCGAAGTGGAAAGCACAGTAAAGCGGGCAAGAACAGCCTCAGCCCCTGGGCCCAACGGCGTTCCATATAGGGTCTATAAGAACGCGCCGGGTGTCCTGAAGTACCTCTGGAGGCTGATAAAAGTGGCGTGGGAAAAAGGAATTATACCAAAGGCTTGGCGACGGGCGGGAGGGATCCTGATTCCCAAAGAGAAGAATTCCTCAACCATCGATCAGTTCCGACAGATATGTCTTCTGAATGTGGAAGGAAAGATTTTCTTCAGTGTTGTGGCCCAGAGGCTCTCAGCATTCCTGCAGAGAAACAACTTTGTCGACACCTCAGTGCAGAAAGCAGGGATAGGTGGATTCTCAGGATGCCTGGAACACACAAATGTCATCTGGCACCAGGTGCAGACGGCCAGGAAGGAGAAGAAGGACCTGCATGTGGTATTCTTAGATCTTGCCAATGCATTCGGATCAGTGCCTCATGAGATGTTGTGGACAGCGTTCAATTTCTTCCAAGTCCCAGAGGGCATCACAAGACTGGTCAAGTCATATTTCCAGGATCTCCAGTTCTGTGTTACAACACAGGATAATACAACTGCCTGGCAGCAGCTCGAGATTGGCATAATGGCAGGATGCACCATATCCCCACTGGCGTTCACCATGGCAATGGAGCTCATTATTAGAGCGTCCCGGTGGGTGGTTGGAGGGCAACGTCTGGAGAGTGGACTTCGTCTTCCTCCTATCAGGGCGTATATGGACGACATGACGACAATAACAACAACAAGCGCATGCACCAAACGCCTGCTGGATAAACTCCAAGGAAACTTCAAATGGGCATGAATGGAGATAAAACCCAGTAAATCCCGCAGTATCTCCATTGTCAAAGGCCAGCTCAGCAATGAGCGGTTCCACGTCAACAACGAGCCAATACCAACCGTTCTGGAGAAGCCTGTCAAAAGCCTTGGCCGCTGGTACAGCGCAGAGCTCAAAGACTCGAAGCAGTTGGAGCAACTCAAACTAGATACCATCCATGGCCTCAAGCAGATCAACAGCACAGCTCTGCCTGGAAAGCTGAAACTGTGGTGCCTCCAGTTTGGGCTGCTGCCCCGTCTCATGTGGCCAATTTCCATCTATGAGGTCACTATATCCCATGCCAAGCGGCTGGAGAGACTGGTGAACGCACAAGTGAGGAAGTGGCTTGGACTGCCGAGATGCCTTAGCAGCATAGGCTTATATGGCAACGGAGCACTCTCCCTACCAATCTCAAGCCTAGTGGAGGAGTACAAATGTGCTAAATCAAGGCTGGAGATGACTCTCACTGAATCCCGGGATCCATTCGTCAGAGGAGCTGCTCCAACCTTAGCAACGGGGAGGAAATGGAAGCCATCTGCAGCAGTCGCGGTGGCAAAGACTGCTCTCAGACACCGGGATATAGTGGGACATGTCCAGCATGGCAGAGGCGGCCTTGGGTTGGAAGCAACAACACCGACATGGCAAAAGGCGACTCCAGCTGAACGGCGCCGCATGGTGGTAGAAGAAGTGCGCCACCAGGAGGAAGCAGCCAGGTGTGCCACAGCGGTCTCCCAAGCTCAGCAAGGCCGCTGGATGAAGTGGGAAGGCGTCGAGAGGAAGAAAATCACGTGGAGCGATATATGGAGCATGGAGTCCAACAGGCTAAGCTTCATCATTAGAGCCACCTACGATGTCCTGCCCTCTCCAACCAACCTGCATGTCTGGTATGGAGAGGACCCAGCCTGTCTCCAGTGTGCAGCCCCGGCTACCCTCAAACACATCTTGGTGGGCTGCAAGAACAGCCTAACCCAGGGAAGATACACCTGGCGCCACAACCAGGTGTTGAAGTGCTTGGCTGCCGAAATTGAGAACAGGAGGGTAACCACCAATGCCATGCCTCTAAACGCCCAGACTACAGGCCCACGGAGAACAAACTTCGTTCGGGAAGGAGAGAAAAGAGGCACAAAGTCATCTCCTCCGGATCCAACTCCACTGAACGCAGCCCGGGATTGGGAAATGCGGGTGGACCTCACCCAGAAGCTCACCTTCCCACCCGAAATTGCAGCAACCAACCTGCGCCCAGACCTGGTCCTCTGGTCCAAATCCTGCCGGCGTGTCTTCATCGTTGAGCTGACCGTCCCATGGGAAGATGCCATCGATGAAGCATTCGAGCGAAAGAGACTGCGATATGCCAATTTAGCAGCTGAAGCAGAGGGGCGGGGCTGGAAGGTGAAGGTGTGGCCAGTGGAGGTCGGCTGCAGAGGCTTTGTAGCCAGGTCTGCCACAAGGCTCCTGAAGGAATTGGGAATCAGAGGGCAGGCCCAACGGAAGGCAATTAAAGAACTTGCCACAACAGCAGAACGGAGCAGTCACTGGCTATGGCTGAAACGTAAAGATGCAGTATGGGCAGCCAAGTGACCGCATGGTGCCACCGTACACCACACACCCAGGGCTGATCATCCTGTGGTGGGCCAACCCTGACAGAGGGTGTCTTGTTGTAAGTGGCCGAAACACCCAATGAAGTCGGGGCGAACAACTGATGATGTGGCGTGCTGGTGGCACCACGTGATCATTGCCAATTCCCACCCCACTCAAGATTAGAGGACATCTCCAATGACTGTCAATTGATGTGCTGAATATTAGGGATATTTAACAACTAGTCCTATAAAGAATTCTAATTTAACTATTGTGGGACCTCTGGGACTGATTCAAACTTGATGAAAAATGCCATACTAGGGCACCTTTAAAACTTGTGATGTAATGAATGATCACACCCTTATAGGTGTAAATGTAGAAGAAGGTGTGAGAATTGTCGAATCTGCTAAGTTTGGATCAGCACATGCTGTTTCGAGGAAGGCAGTGCAATCAAAGGTGTGTCATGTAATTAAACACCTTTGAGACAAAGGGCTCTATTTTCGTGCTTCGCAGGAGATGTGGCGCGGCGTAAGTCAGGTCTGCCGCGCCAACAAGGCGTTCTCAAGCACAATTTGGTATTTTGGTGAGCGGCGCAGCCTGGCGTAAGTATCCCCCCTCCCTAACTCAGCTCCTCCCAGCGACGTCAGTCGTAGGGAGGGAGGAGAGAGGGCGTGGAGTGGGTTTAACACAGCCGAGACCTGTATTTAAATCCGCCACAGGTGAGGCGTATTACTATTTTTGTGAAGTAGTCAAAGAGATCAAGAGATGTCTGAAGACAGCAATATCACATGACGGCGACAGAAGGCAGCCCCTCAACAAGTGTCACTGTAAACGCTGCAGAGGGTGTCCTTCACACTCTCATATAAGCACAGATGGATTTGGTGTGTGTAAGATTGGGCCCACTTGTAAGACAAACACCCTTTTCCACAAATAAAGACACTCTCATAAAGTTGCATATATTAAAACCTCACGTGACAAAGGTGGGTTGTGCGCACAGATCACATCATAAATTCCAATAATGGCATTAAAATCGGAACCATCTGTGCGTAATGACGCATCGCGCTCCGTGGCCTGGCTATTTCCACCATGGATGTTGGCATATAAAATAAATTTGGCTTACAAAACTGAATATTATAATATCCGTATGTAGGGTTAAAGTAAAAAACTCATCTGATCACTGAAACAAATCATCTGTTCAGCCATCGCAGCAGCAGCTGCAGCAGGACGAGGAGAGGACACAGAGACATGTCCAGGTCGAGCTGCGCGAGAAATAAGATGAAGAGGAAAAAAGAAAAGGAGGGAGACGAATTACATATCTTGTTAACTTCATCATGTGTGTCTATTTACTGTGTTGATTCGGTCAGGTTGAGTGTCCAAACGCGTTCCAAACACGCTCATCAGATCAGATATAGATCAGAATATATTGAAATAGATCTAAATGTATGTGCTGACTCAGATTATTAGTTGTTGTTGATTATTTATTGCGCTGAAATGTGCCTGACACTGTGGAAACCTGCCGGTGAGGCATTAGGGACGTATGCTGAAACGCTGCCAGTCTACCAAAATACCACTAGACCAGCTGCGCTCCGCCTGCGCTGAAAGCTGACCAGGTTTGAATTGGCGAGCTTTCAGCACACTTTACACACCACCGGCCAGCACGAAAATGTCACTGCGCCAGCTGATTCTGTCGACACCTCCTCCTGCCTCACCACCACGCCCAGCTTGGTGGACCTCGGTGCGCCTCAGTCCAGGAAAATACCAAACTGGCTGCACACCGGGCTCCGGGTTAACAGAGATGTTTACATCTGGCTTAAAGTTCAGTTCACACCAATTAAAATGAACAAGTTCACCTTCATTTTTTAGCTATAAGTTTTCTTTTTTGAAAAAAAAAAAAAAGGGGGGGGGAGGGTTAAAGTGTTAAAATAAACTATTACCATGACAATTTTTTATATCTTTGTACCATTCTAGCCTTTTTTTTCTTTTCTTTTAGTTTATGCGAAGTGTAATTCAGAAAGTGCCTCTGAAATGACAGAGTGCATAAATTAACCACAAATTATGCCAAATACAATGATGAAAAAGGGAGAGACTTCATTTGAATGGGAGTGTGCTCATTTCTGCACAAACAATCACTGTGGGACATTTAGTTTCACACATTCAGACATCATTAGACATCATTTAAAACACTCTCTCTCACACACACACACACACACACACACACACACACACACACACACACACACACACACACACACACACACATATTTTCTGTTTGTGTAATAGATCAGTAAATCCTGCTGAGAGTCATGGAAGTCTCTCTTCTCCCAGCTGAAAGATCTCACACGTCATTCAGGTTGCAGATAAACAGATGTGTTTGACAAGCATTTATATTTAAATCATTTTGGTTTCGGGAACTGCAAAGTCAAAAAGTCACAAGTTTAACTTTTCTTATTTTACAGCTAAAATGACTTCATTTTATGATTAACTTCAGAATTAGATTTTTATTATAACTCAGAGATGAAAAGTAATAGTTTTTCCCCACAAGGGTAGACTGACAACATGGTGTATTTTTGCTCTGGGTTTGAAAGCTCATTTTTCATTACAGTGTGCAGCAGTGGGCAGAAACTAATCAATGTCACACACTCATATCATCAATCTGTACACTATTTACTGTGTATTTTCTACAGCAAAAGGCTTCCAGCAGTAACAACTTCTTGGGTCAAAACTGAGCCCTGGCTAAAAGTGAACTGTGAGATTTCTGTTGTGGGTTCAGTTTCACTTTGTTGAGGGTTGAAAAATGCCCACAAATTAAAATGCCAGTAGATACACATTACAGACAAGCTCGGACCCGAGCCATACACAAATGGATGTTTTTTTTAACTGGAGGTTTTTCCCTGCAATCTGACCTCCCATCCACATGTAGACTGAGCTAAAGGTCTTTAATGACATTTTTTTTTTTTTTTTTTTTTTTGAAAAAGGCCTTTCTTCTCCTTTTTTTAAATATAGTTGTGTGTACATCAGAACTTTTTTTAAGGAAACACATACTTAGTACTTGCTTTGATGGCAGGCTACATGTTTGTTTGGGTTTGGTTTGTATGGATTGGTTTATTTAATGTTTACAAAGAAACCTTACTGGTCTCCATCATTAAATTGTAGTGCAGGGGCTGTAAATGCAATGTTTTTTTATTCATCACCCATATAAAGTATAAGGAATGCTTTTTCAGACTGCTGCTCACTCAAGAAGATGCTCTATTTGTACGTGAGTAATGTTCTTTGGTGTTTTGACAGGACTGATTACACATTATAACCACTGACTGGTTTTGCATACTTATGTGAAGTGAAACAAGACATAAGACACTAACAAGGCACGTAATACAAAATAACTGAACTGAGGACTTTATTTATCAAATATGAACAATACCAAACTGGAAATAGACCAGACATGGCAAAGACCAGGTTTTGCAGTTCTGTAGGTAAAATGTCCCAAATTATCAGTTTAGGACTCTTCTACTATAAGACTATGGTATAATACAAGCAGGAGGTGGTTTGTTTTTGCGGTGCTGATATATGAAAGATCTTCCTTAAAACAGTCATTGTCCAAATGGCAGCATATGTTGCTTCAAAACATATCATTTACAGACATATAGCTTTCCCTTTGTGTAAACTTCTCTTTTAGACAGGGATTTCTCCAAATTTATGAGGCTCTTTTAATGACACATCTTCACCTCTCTCTGAAATGCCCTTTTTATACAAGTCACATG